ACTGGGGCTGACTCTGGGGGGGTTGGGTGCACAGGAGCTCTGGAAACAGCAGGCTGGCACTGGAGGGGGTCTGGTGGTAGGGGGCTCTAAGGGGTAGGGGGCTGGCACTGAGGCGTTTGGAATGGGTGGGCTGGCGCAGAGTAGAAGCCAGTGGTTTGCAGCAGCTCTGGGGGCTGAACGTTTTGGTAGACCGGTAACATTTATTTGCATAATGAGTATGCAAATAAAATGTTACCGGTCCACCAAAAGTTTATGAATGGGTTTACTGGTCTGCAGTATAAAAAAGGTTGGGAACCACTGTTCTAGAACATGGAAAGGGAGGGAGCTGCTGTTTGGAGGAATGCAATACTGCAGAGTGACCACTATGGGCAACCGCTCCACCAAGAGCAGGGATGGGCAATAATTTTTGGTGGGGGGCCACTCCAAGATTTTGGTAAATGGTCAAGAGCTGCACTTTCCTGTGGAGAGGGTACAGAGTCTAGGTTGGGTGCAGAAGGGTGCTCAGGGTAAGGGACTGGAGTGCAGGAGACGGTGTTTGGGTGGAGGGGGGTTGTGACCTAGGTCAGGGGATTGGGGTGTAGGGTCAGGGAGGGGGTGTGGGTGCAGGAGAGGATTCCGACCTGGGGGACAGGTGTAGGAGGGGTACAGGATCTGGGAGGGAGTTGTCACCTAGGGCAGGGGGTGCAGAGGGTTTGGATGGTAATCTGGGCCTCCCTGCCTGTTGCAGCCCCAGCCCGCTTGAAAATACAGGCTGCTCCCTCCACATGGCTCTCAACTCTGGATGGGGGAAAGAGGCTTAACGCTGCCCCAGTCTCTCAGGCCAATCTCTCAGTTCCAATTGGCTGGCTGTTTCCAACCCATAGGAACTGTGAGTTTGGCTGAGGTCAGTTCTTATTGACCAGTTGTTTCTGGCCAATAGGAGCTGAAGGATTGGACTGGGGCAGGGAGATCACAGGAAGCCTTCTCCTCCCTGAAGAGCAGACTGTGTTTTAAACAGCGGCAGGGTGGTCAGTGGGCCAAATCTAGTGTCTTGATGGGCCAGATCCAGCCCCTGGGCTGTATTTTGCCCAGTCTTGACCAAGAGAGTGGTAAGTTGATGCTGGGGCTCTAGCCTTATTCTGGCCTGCATATTTATACCTGCCTCTGGAAATTTCCACTACATGCATCTGACGAAGTGGGTCTTTGCCCACGAAAGCTTATGCTCCAATACATCTGCTAGTCTATAAGGTGCCACAGGACTCCTTGTCGCTTTTGCAGATCCAGACTAACACGGCTACCCTTCTGATATCTAGCACTGTTAACAGTCTACAGCCCTCTGAGGAACTGTGCAAAGTACTTTACCAAAGTTCATGAAGCCCTGCACACTTCTGGGAGGAAGTTTAGGCTTAGTACAGATGAAGAAACTAAGTGACTGTGAGGCATAATTTCTCCCTTATACTCACACAGCAAGTTAATGGCACAGTCAGAAGAAGGACTCAAATGTCAACCTGTAGCTAGGGATGTAAAAAATTTACATTTGAAAAATGTAACTAACCCCAAAATAGAATAGTCTCTGCCTGTGGAGAGGGGCCTAAGCTGGATCTGCCACAGACAGGGGCAGGAGCAGACCACACTCAGGGTAGACAAGGAACTGCTCCAGTTTCTACTGGGTAACCAGAACCAGTAAGCCTCACTCCTTAAGGGCATTTACATCCCTACCTATGGCTTCCCTACTCTAACTGCTAGAGAATACTGCGTTCCATTGCTTCGTCTGATTCCCTTACCTGGAAGCCAACGAAGGAAATCTGCATAGACAAGATGGTTCCTAAGCAGTACACTGTGCAATAGGCCACATAGATCCTGTGGGAGAAGCGTCCTGTCAGCATCAGCACAAGGACATGCAGGGGGATCAGATTAATCAGAAACACATAGCCACCCCATGAAGAGACCTGGGTAAGAAGAGAACAATTATGTGCTCAGAACAACTTGCACTGTGTCGATGAAAAAGAGGTTAATATTCTATAGACAATTTCCAAAAAAATATTCTACAGACCATTTCCAGAACCCCCAAGTGAAAACTGGGTTTTGCTAGCAGAAACAGAAAACAAAGGCACACACATTGGACTTGATCACATTCCAGTGGTTTTTTAATGGTTATCAATTCAAAATATGCTTCAGAATTAACACAGTTCATAAATAGATTAACTCAACATTGTTTGAAGCCAATGTCCTTCTTTTGGTTTTCTGACAGTTCACTGTTTCTCTCAAAAGGTTTGGGCAAATCTTACTGTTTGTACATTTAGTGCATCACAATAGAGGGAACAGAATACATGAAGGTCATGGAGCTGCCCCATTCCTAACACCTTTCTTTTTTAATAAATTACTTTCTTTTAAAAAAAAATCTGCCTTTTTTCAACTAGGTTACATGAGCTCTCCAGCAATGATCTGACAGGAAAATGCACCAAACAAGGACAAATCTAATGCTCTTTGTAGTGACATGGAAAAATTCCAGGATTGCTTACCCCAGATCTTGCACTAATACATATCCAGACTCTCTGATGCTACTACCATGCACAAACATATTGCACGTAACACTGGGAATCATTACAAGTTAATCTGGCATAGGATTCATAAAAGCATACTATTTGGTTCCATTCAAAACAGCCAAATAAAAACCAAGTGTAGGAAAAGAGCATCTAAGAATATATAGTGGACTACTTGGTCTTAAATGACAACATCCAGGCAAGCTTAGATTACTGAAACCCATTACAAGGGAAAACAAGGAGAGAAAGCTTTGCCCCTCATTTCATTTCAACAGACCAGGATGAATGTTCCATGGGAGGGGGAAAAACATGCCAGGGGGGGGGGGGGGGGGGTGAGCCTCAAACTTTTTATGCTAGAGTTGCTAATAGAGTTTCTCAGCTAGGCTGCTCTAGAATTCTGGAACAGCAGACAAAAAGCTAGGTAGGTCTGTTTATTATTTGCTTTGATCAGATCCACACGTTAAAATCCTTGTGTAGGTAAGGCAAGTTGCAGTTTTAACATGTCAGTCTGTCAAGGGAAACCCTAGGCTTTACTTTGATCAGCTAACATGTTGAAATACACCTTTTCTCCTAGTCATCCGGACATGTCTACATTACTGGGAAGATTGATGTTGGTCGATCTTTCTGCGTTCAATTTAGCAGGTCCACTGGGGACCTGCTACAATGAACAATAAGGATGCCTCAGTGATGCCAGTAATCGTCACTGTCACAAGGAGTAAGGGAAGTTGATGTGAGCCTCTCTCCCATTGGCCTCCTGCAGTGAGGTCCGTGCTCCAGCTTGGCTTAAGGTATGTCGACTCCAGCTACGTCATTTACGTAGCTGGAATTGCATACCATAAGCCAACCTTTCCCCATAGTGTAGACCTGCCCTCAGACACATGAATGCTGCAACATTGCCTCTTGTAATAAAAAGACTCAATGGATAATGAAGCTCAATCAGGAGAGTGTCACTCCAAGGGCTCATTACAATAGGCCCCATTAACAACCAAAAAGGAACTAGACAAAGCAGATTGTGTCCACAAAAGCTCATGGTACTATATGTTTTTTGTTAGTCTCTAAGGTGCTATAGGATAACTTGTTTTTAAAGTTTTTTTAAATACATTAAAACAGAATACAGCCACCATCAATTCAGTACCCATGTGTGTCACATACAGAATAGTTCCTGCATATAGGAATTACCATGGAAGACAGGATGGAAGACTGCATGCTGGGAAGTAGGGATATAAAATCCCATTTAATTGGTTAAGTGATTAAACATCTCTCTCTATATAAAAAGTTTTTTCAGTGGAATGACAGGTCATCACTCTGCACCCTACCTGACTCCTCCCTCCTTGGCTGTGTCTCCCTTCTCCCCCTTCTCTGGTGCGCGGGGCGGAGAGCAGGGCCTGGCAAGCGGCCCCTCCCCACCCAGTATTGGGGAGGAGGTTGAAGCTGTGAGCCACACAGCCCCTCCCCTCCCAGTGTTAGACGGGGGAAGTGCGGGGGCTGCAAAGCACACAGCTCCTTCACTCCGCGATTTTTGGGTGGTGGGGAGGGGGGGGAGCAGAAGCCACACACCCCACTCATGGTCCTCGGGAGTGGAGTGAGTGTGGAAACCATGCAGCACTGGGAGCAAAGCAGCCCTTCCCCTCCCCAATGCTGGGGGGAGGAAGGGAGCTGTTGTGGCTGGGGGAGGAGTACAGAGCCTGGTGAGGCCTCATAGTGCCCACCACAGCCCACGGCTGGGCATGGAGGGCCGATTCTGAGAAGCCACACACCCCACTCATGGTCCTCGGGAGTGGAGTGAGTGTGGAAACCATGCAGCACTGGGAGCAAAGCAGCCCTTCCCCTCCCCAATGCTGGGGGGAGGAAGGGAGCTGTTGTGGCTGGGGGAGGAGTACAGAGCCTGGTGAGGCCTCATAGTGCCCACCACAGCCCACGGCTGGGCATGGAGGGCCGATTCTG